TCTAATTGTTTATTTACCTTGTCTGGTCTACAGTTATGCTTTGTTTGTTTTGGAGAATTTTAAAGGATAAAAATATTGAGCCTGCATGATCTATAATAAATGTAATCTATGAGCAAAATCCATTTCTTAAATGGTCTGTCTTCTTCAAACTCCACGCTCCACTTCAGGTAATAAAGATGCAACATTTTCCCTTTGAACAATCTATTATAACTTGCACAACATGCACCTAACGTATCTGTTTGTGTAATTTGTTACCCTGATTGTTGGACGAGGAGAGCAAATAGACAGAAGTCAAGTAGTACCAAAGGATTTTGTTGATCAGAACATGAATTCATTTGTGGTTTGAACTTGTAATAGGATGAAGGAAACTGTGTTCGATGTTCTATATTTAATGTTGCTTTGTCTTGACATCCACTGTTCGATTTATTAATTTATTCAATTTATTAACCGCAGATCCATTCAGTGCGGATGACTCTGCCTTATAGGTTTCAAACCTCAGTCACCTTGGTCAACAGCTATGTTTACATGGACATAAGTAATCGGATTAAATGGCCATTCGGAATAAAAATGTGCCCCATTCGGATTATTCTGTGTTGATTCAGCTCAATCTGAAAGAATTTGTCATCAGAATGAGACGGGTGGTTTATGCCAATTCATAATCCGAATGGTGTGCATGTAAACACTTAATCTGTTCACTTTTTTCCAATCGTGGAAAACTGACCTGACTGTGCATGTGCGACCTATGTCTACCTCACATATTTCCACCTGGCTAGATGCTAATATGTCAAGGAAGCAAAACTGGTCGGTGAGCGATACAACATTTGTACTAGAAACTTTGAAAGAGCTCACAATTATCGGTATTATCTGTAGCTCAATCAGGGAGTGCATTAACATCTCCACCATCATTAAAACCTGCCCGAGCCCATTTTGGACGCTCAGTTTGTTTACGTTCATCCTGGAAGTAGAACTTCTTTGGTGTTTTTTTAAGGAAAGTTTACCACTCTGCGCGTGTCAGTACTTCTGTTCAGAATAAAAGCCCGCTGCACGTAAACACTCATCGTGAACGGATTGTTCCCATGTAAACCATGCATTCAAATTATTTAATCTGAAAACATTTCAATACAGTCAAAGAATTTTGCACATGTAAGCATAGCTATGGATGGGGCCCACTAATTATTTGTTTTAGCACAACTCTGCATGTAAGCGTTAACAAAAAAATATATAATAGGCACAATTGTGAAATATAAATAATCAAAAAGTCTGTTTCGCAGCCATTTGACACAGAGATACACAAACTTCTCTGCAAAAAGTCTGCTAGTTTCATGTCATTAGTGGCAACCTTATAACAGTGACAAGTCTTTGCTCAAACATGCACGTGCACACATACACATGCACATGCCTTTCCTGCTGTCAAAGGACTCTGTTTGATCCCAGTGGGATTTATCTCCTGAGCCCAAATGTCAACATGCGTTGTTGACCGAGCTGGTTTCCTCTCCACCGACTGTCTACATCTAAAACCTGCAAACCCACAGGTAAGAGCAGTTTGACCTCAGGGCACAGAAGAAAGTCAAAAGAACATGATGTGTCTGAGAATGAGGAGAGGCAATCACTTTAGAAATGTATGATTAGCTTTTTTGCATCAACATAATGAAAATGAACTTCTTATTCTACTCCCTTCCATCTTTCTCGTGCAACTTTGTTTACATCTAAGTTATGTTCGGGGCCCCACCAGCACCTTCTTTGTTTGGTTTTATGAGTTTTTGCACTGTAGTCTGAGTCCTGCATTATTTTTAGAACAAACGCCTGTTTATATTATAACTCCAATTGAGAAAGCAGCTTTTACAAAGGGGAAAAAAGTGCATGCGGACAAGTGTGTGTCAGCGGGTGGGAACAGTGGGGGGATTTCCTGATTATGAGCACAACAGCAAACGCTTGTTGATCACGATTTAATGATTTCAGTAAGCTTCTGCACAACTAGTACAACTGTTATTAGTTAGACTTGTACACAAAGATTTTTTTTTTCATGGATTTTGTGTACTTTAAAATTTAAACTTGTGCATATGAAGCATCTAAAAGCTCAAAGTTGATGCAAAGAAGGCTTTAATCCAATCAGAAGAGCATTTCAAACACATTTTTCACTTCAAATGAACTTCATTTTCAATCAATAAACTGTCACTTACACAAACAAGTTCTAACAAACTTAAAGTCTTGATTTGAGGGTTCCCTTGCTTCCTTTACCCTTTTATGGCGGTCACCTTTCACCACATCACCCTCTTTCTCTCCACAGGTTAATCATTTCACTAAAGCTAGCTTACCAGAGAAGCTCTTATCAGCATGTGTGTCGTTTTATAACCTGACCTGCACCCCTACCTCTGCTACCCCCCATGCCTCAGTGTTGTCAGATCCCTTGTCATGGCTCCACCCACATTTGATTGCAGGTAATTCAGTTTTGACCAATCCCAAGCATTTAGAATATACTGGTAGCCTGATGGAGATCCATGACACTAGGGATCAGAAGTTGATGTTGGTGATGTTGCATTTTGACATTCATTAATTTTTCAAAGAACTTTGTATTAATTCATGTTAGTCTGTACCTTTTTTTTTTGGCTGATCCCTTCTTCAAGGGTTGCCACAGCAAATTAAGTTGCATAAAGAATTGGCTATTATTTTTATGACAGATGCCCTTCCTGACGCAACCACAGACGACTGAGCTACCACAGCCCTCTGTGTGGAGCAGAGAGCGCCCGCGGGAGCAGATGGGGGTTAACAGCCTTGCTCAAAGGCCCAGAGTGGGGCAAATGAGGATGGAGGCAGGTGTGGATGTTTTAACTTTCCCACACACATTTTGATGTTGTCAGTACTGGGAGTTGAACTAACGATCTTCTGATCACAGGCCCACCTTCTCTAACCTCTGTGCCACCACTCCCTGTCTGTACTTATTACTAAATTTGATGAAACAAACAAAAAGAAAACACATAGATCCAGGTGACCGTACATTCCCAAACACAACAACAAAACTATGTAAATAAATGGGCATATATACTTTTCAGTCAGATTTGAAGCTAAATATGTTTCGATATCAATATCATGGAGAGCTTTCTAGAAATATCACATAGTTTTAGCTTTAAAGTTAGAGATCCGTGGAAAGGTTAAGGTGTGTGGCCTCACAAAGACAGGAAGGAATGACTGCATGTTGGGGGCAGGTGGGAGGGCTTTCTGAGAAAAGAAAATAGAGAGAAAAGCCTTTAAGAACAAGAACAGATTGAAGCAACTCATTAGAGCCTCATTTAGAGTGTTGTGGGATAGTTGAAGGTTAACAGCACGGAACTGATTTCGTCCTTTAGCCACAGCTATTGCAATTATTACAGAGTTGGTCCCATGGTGTGTTTATGTCAGAAAAACAAAATTGCAGCTCAATTCATGAACGTGAAAATTAAATGTAGCCAATAAGTCATGTGAGTTTTTATTCCATGCTGTAGTTAAATATGCAACAAAGCTGTACAAGTCAGTGTTGCCAGATTGGGTGGTTTACTGCAAATTGGGCAGTTTTCATTCTGATTTTGCTGGGAACTCTGGGAAGATTTTTGTTGGATTGGTGTGCTATGCCACATGTTAAATTACCTTGGCTTGTAGTGATGTGCATTCATGTTCAAACAGTAAATACTGTAACAATATATTGATTGGGCAGATTTTTGTGTGATGTGGTGGTTTTTAACTGATTTTTTGGGGCTGGAAAACCTCGACTCTATCTGGCAACACTGGCACAAGTGGCGTGCACAGCACATGCACTCCTCTCAGGTGAGCCCAGGTGACTTTATCATGTCTCCCCAAACTCACCCTTAAAGTATTTGATTCTGTAAAATGAAATAAAGCATTTAGAGACAAATCAGTGAAAATTTATTGTTTCAGCCCTCGAAACATCCCCAGTCTGACATGACTATCCCTGCTGAGCCAATCACTAAGAACTACTCAATAGTAATTATAATTTGTTGCATGAAGGGGTGGTGGTAGAAATGGGGGGGGGGGGTGATAAAACAGGCCAGCGCTTCTCATATGGTGTCATAATAAACCAGATTGCTGTTTACTTGACACACTGACACAAGAAAGAAAGAAAGAAAGAAAGAAAGAAAGAAAGAAAGAAAGAAAGAAAGAAAGAAAGAAAGAAAGAAAGAAAGAAAGAACATTAACTCGAGCTTGACATCAGCTGCAGCTTCTTGTTTCGCGCACTCCAGTCCACACACACCTTTGCGCTCCGACTTTGTTCTCCGCGCTCTCGTGAGGAGTCTGCTCTCACAACACGCAGTTGCATCACCTCTCTTGATCCCCCCCCCCCCCCCCCCCCCCCCCCCCCCCCCCCGCTCTTTTAAAAGTCCATCATTAACGGGATTAAACAGCTGAGATTACAGAGCAGGAGGAATTGGGAGCTGTGAGGCGATGGTTCCCAGTCTGTCCGCCTGATTGGACCAGAGAAACATGATGTCAGGCGACCGCATGCGCTCGGGATTGGAGAGGGCGGCGTAAACAAAGCCTCGAGGAGGAGGAGGAGGAGGAGGAGGAGGACGGGTCTCCACATCTCCAGACAGTCCGACCGACACATCGAATCCGACTTTACGCACAGGGGTAGGGCAGCCCCGGCGGCGCGCGCTTGTCTGCAAAAGGCTGAAAGTCACTGTGACAGTCTCCTTTAATTGATGACGCGCTGCAAAGACTTTTGGACACGATAAAGTGAAACTTTGCGCCGTGTTTCCATCCGGACCTTGCGCACTTTTCTTATTAGACAGTAACTGTCCAAGTCAGAGCGCAACTCTTTCTTATTGTTCATATTTGGTTAGATTTTTGTTCATTACGCGCAAAAAGTGCCGTTAGAAACATGATGGCAGTAAAGTTTAATCAGTAGGGCACTCGGTTGGGTCGCGTTTAGAGGAAGAGTTCATGTGACCATGGTTTGATAACTGGAAGAAGGAGAGGCAGAAAGTAAGACAGAGCGCGAGGAAAGAGCTTCGGGACACTTCGAGGTGTGTTGAGGCGAACCTCTCACATCCAGGTGTCCCGCCGAGGCGCGCGCAGCCTCCAGCTCATGCCGGCTGCGCTGACATGCTGCCCAAAGTCGAGTCTGAATCTTTGGGACTCGCTCGATCGTATGGAGCGCACGGCCACATGCCAAGGAACATGCAAGGTAAGGACGGACATGCTTTAAGTATTTTTTAACAGAAAAACGCAGATTTATTTTAAAAGCCCCCCCCCCCCCCCCAAAAAAAAAAAAAAAAAAAAAAGTTTAATCTTTTTCTGTTACAGAAGGGCCAGCAGAAAGTGAAAGTCCCGCGTTGTTAATACTGGTTCCGTGGTTTTATTTAAAGAAGCTCCTTGACCGCATGAGATACGTTCCATCACTAAAACTTTCATAATTAAACAGTATATTTATAGATGTAATATGGATATTTTGTTTTATGGTTGAGCTGTCACTCAAGCAGAAAAAGAGCAACCGACTAAAATCGACAGACAAACCAAAATGCTCTGACTGCATCTATCATTTATATTTCTGTGGTTTTGAACCGAACCACTTGACCTCCTCCACGCAGATGCTCCAAATCGCATGACCCCGGGATGATTTCGTTTGTAGAAATATTTTTAAAAAATGAAGGCAAAGGTGATTAAACTGCAAATAATTTAAGACTGATTCAGAGAAAATATTTACTGCACGAATAAGAAATTTAACCTCCCAAATCATTTTTAGTCTTGTCTAAAATAATGACAAACATGATTATAAATAGGTGACAAATGCCTTTAATGAGTCCACAGAATTTGTTGCGTCCTCAAAACATTTCATGTTACTGTCCCATTTATCTAAAACTCTTTCCAAAATATGCAACATTTTACAACTGAGACAGTTTTATGTTAAAGTAATGTGTCAATTTATTTTAGTGACTGAGACACAATTTTTCCAAATGTTTTTTGATGTATAAAAAAGGCCAAAAAAAAAGGTACGATGGTAATGATTTAATAAATCATATATATATATATATATATATATACATTTCGTAACTTCCTCTGACTTGCGTTGTTTTCTTGACCTTCTTTCCAAATAGAGTCCACACGCAGCAGTGAATTTATTATTTAAGTACAGATCAAGTTTTCTTTATCCACATTTGTCACTCCACGGCAATAAAACAATCTCTTTGCTCGACTTGATTTTATGAGACACTGATAAGACTCTTTGAAGGAGTGGTTCATCAGGGAGATTGTTATCTCAGTTTTTTTGCAGACCAATAAAACCAAAGGTAGCTCTAATGGAAACTTTGCAACCAGAGACAAATATATAGTGAGATGCAACACGTGAGAGTGAACGAGGTGTGCGTAACCAGGCAATTTACGCACGTTAAGTTGGCACCTGCGGCAAGTTTAGAATCATATTTCGTTCTCAGAATTTAAACATGTGCAGCACGTGAGGCCTTCTCCAAGTTCTAATTACGCACCATGGCGCGCGGATTTTCTGCACAAATGCGCTGAAAATATTCTTTTAGTTTTCCAAACGCTGCCAAACCCGTTGCGCGTCGTGAGGAAAAAAAAAAAGCCTCTTTTTTTGTGCGCTTTGAAGCAAAATACAGATCAGAGACTTGAGTTTGCTTTGACTTTATGTGGAGGGAAAGAGAGAGAGAGAGAACCTTGTAGGAACTTGTTGCTTCGGCGCGTTAACAAACTCCAAATCCGTCTAATGAAGGCGTCTCTGCGCGCGCAGGAGCGCAGAGCACGAGGCCAAGGAGGGCACATCCACTTTTTCCATCCAGACAGGTTCTTCTGTTAGATCCAGGCTGCTGTTTTGAATGATTAAACCACATATGTTTTGTGAAACGTTTGTCAGAGCTGCAACAAAACCAGCGCGATTATTAAAGTCGTTAAAACGCGTTTAGTTAAAGATTTATTAAATCCAAGAGACTGCGTCATTTTATTGTTGCTGTTTGTTTTGGTCTCCAAAAGGAACACATTTAAAATAGATTATCATTAACTTGTTAGAAAGAATATGATCAATCATGTAATGATGCCACTAAAATAAATGTCTTCAGTGATGATTCGAAAATAGACCTTTAAAAAAAAAAAAGAAAATGCTGGTGTTATTATTATTATTTTTTTTAATCGCCTGCAAAGATAAAAAGTAACTTCTTTGTGTTTCCATTTATCTGTGGGCGGGAAGATTTTCTTCAATCTTCAAATCTAATGCCCCCACCCCCCCCCCCCCCCCCAAGCGATTTCACGACTTAGACGCATGCATATTTATGAGACTGACTTTCGTGAGCAATTTTATATTTATTAAAAAATATATACTTTTTTGCTTCTGTCTGCAGCGACTGTAGAAGAGAGAGGGCAGTCGCGGGGAGAAACGCTCGTTTCCTTTCACCTCACTCCCAAAACGCCCATAAGTTCCCGAAATTAAACCTTCACAAGGGACGAAAAGTTTCAGAGATCTCCCTCAGTCCACCCCCACCCACCCCACCCCCACCGGTGCTTCACCTTGATGGATGGGAGCTGGCTCCGGGGAAAGCGCACTGAAATAGACTTCTCTGTGTGTGTCCGTGTGTCCTCCGCAGCCCCCCAGTTAAAAATGATGGACTACTCTTATGACGAGGACCTGGACGAGATGTGTCCCGTGTGCGGAGACAAGGTGTCAGGGTATCACTACGGACTGCTGACCTGTGAGAGCTGCAAGGTTGGTGCACCTCATGATGGGGACAGATTACAAGAAGTGAGGCTGAGGGTGCTGTGACTTTTCTTTTTACTGACAAAGATCCAGTCTGTGTTTTGGGCTGGGATGTATTTACAGTCAAAATGACTTAAAGTCTTGCATGAGTTTTTGAAATGACTGACTGGATAAATCAAGCTAAAAAAAAGCTTTTTTTATTTATAGAAATGATCTGTTCTTGTTTTTAAAATGTGATTTTCTGCATTGTGATGGTTCTCTGCTTCCAGTTTAACCTGCTGGACTTCAGCAGGTTCATTTTTTGCATTCAAGGCTTCAGCTAATGTGTCTTTCAGCTCAGTGTATTAGTTTTATCATTTACACTGAAGAGGTCAGGGGTCAAATACTACAGCTGATCTAACAAACCTGTCCTGTTCTGTTTGATCGCTCAAAATGAAGCAAGAATTTTAAAGCATGAAGGGTTTTTGTTAACTTTTTTTTTTTAAATGAAGAAAGTTATAACCGTTGAGGACTGATGGTTTTTTGTTTGATCAAACGTTTGTCGCACTGCCCAAAACTCTCATCGCAAGTTCATTAGGAGCTTTTCATCACTATCTGACATAAAGCAAAATATTCCCTCACACAAAGAAACAACATCTTCGTTCAAACTTCCAACCTCTTTCTCACGTTTAACGTTTATTCGAAGCTGCCAGTGCAAAATGAAGCGGAGACAAATGCCTCTGCGTTAGCGCTCTTCAGTGTCAAATTGCAGCTCCCACTATTGATGCTGCAGTGCACATTTCTTGCCTATGTGGTCATTATTCAAAGCAGATGTTAAAGATTTGATCCCTGTATTGTGACCTTGAGATGCTGAGCGTTTGCTTGAAGGGAGACGTCAGTGGCATCTCTGCTGCTTCTCAGCCTCGGTGCAGGCTCACGTCTAAGTGCCAATCCACACATTCCCTGCTGACTTGAAACACTCCTGGTGTCGTGCACGTGTGTGTGTGTGTGTGTGTGTGTGAGCATGCAGGATGTAGATGGAGAGGTGTTTTATAGAGGGTTGTATATCCTTGTTGAAACATTAATGATATTGATAATTACCCCCAGCGTGTCATTGATTATCTCTAAAATGTAGCAGTTTGTATGATCATCAGGGCTGGACTGATGAATCAGGCTGCTGATAGTTACAGGTTCATTTGGGCTTTAAATAATCCCCAGCAGCAGGCGGTGCCGTCTTTCTGTCAGTGCAGAAGTAACAAAAGCTGATCCATTTGTAAGAGTTTATGCTATATTCACATTTTGTTTTAAAACTTTGCAGGATTGGTCAGTTTCGTGCACGTACAGTATGCACAAGAAGGTGCATTTGTAGTCTGCAAATGTGCTCCTAAACCACGCTCAAACAGATCATCCTTTATTCAGGCGCACACATACAGCTTTGGTTTGTACACTTCACATAAAGTAAACATGTTAGCACACCGAGCAAGTTGGAATAACAAGAAGGAGCAGAGATGCATGAGGGAACTGGGTTCTTTTATTATTTTTATTTTTGGGGAGTTTGAGGTAGAATCTCATAATTCTGAAACACTGATGCGCCACACAACTTGTGAGATGACTAGAACTTTTTTTTTTTTTTTTTGTGGTATACTAATTTAAGTTGATCCAGAACTCGGTGACTAGGAGTGCAGGGTTTTTAAAATCAACTCATAGTTGTTCAAAGCTCACCAAAGATTTGTTTGTTAGCAAGATCCGTTAGTAAATTTGCAGCATGTGGTTTAAAATCAGCATGATCATTTCAGATTTCATGATGAAATTTAGCATAAATAAATTTAAAAAAAGTAATAAAAGTTAATCCACACACTTCACTATCATCACAGAGCTCTGGTGCACTCTTCATGGAAATGTTGTCCTCCTGATGTGCAGAAAGTAAGTTTGAACAATTATAAGGCACATGCCATGTGGAAAATGGAAAATTAAGGAGAGAAACATGTCACTGAAGCATGGAATATTTTTTGGTACTGAGAGTTGATATTCTAAAGGATATTTTTTATTTTTTGACGCAACTTTTCAGTTGTTTTCAGCGAGTTATTGGCATGCTGTTTTTAATCTCATTTTATAATCCAGATTTAGGGATTCTTCTCCTATTCTGGAATACGTTAATGTACCTACCTGCTGCTACCAATAATAAAATCCTTGTATGATCAGTGTAACCTGCTATTTATAGATGGAAATTATATTTTTTAAACAATTAAGCGAAAGAATTAAAAATGATAATAATTTAAATCCTGGAGTCTATGAGTGAAAATGGAATTTAAATGGAATTTAAACTAAGACGTAAAACTTAATATCCTTTCCTTTAAAGGCGGAAAATTTAATAAAAATTCTTATGAAAAGAATATTCAAAAAGCTATTTTAAATTAGTTTGATTTATTGAAGGAAATGTTGAAACTTGTTTTCTTTAAGTGAGTCTTCAAGTCATTTTTTTTTCATTCTATGTCTGAAGCATCACATCAATTGGAGTTTAGCTCAAAACTCCCCTTTGTGTGTGTGTGTGTGTGTGTGTGTGTGTCCATTAAGCCCTCTCCATGTGTGTCCCTCTCCATCTGTCTGGGAGTGTGAATGGGCCAATTACCATCGCATTGCAGGGGTCAAGCAGGTTGACGTCTTAATTGGTTCTCTCCGCAGGGCTTCTTCAAGCGCACCGTCCAGAACAACAAGCGTTACACATGTATAGAGAACCAGAGCTGCCAGATTGACAAGACCCAGAGAAAGCGCTGCCCGTACTGCCGCTTCCAAAAGTGCCTCACTGTCGGCATGAAGCTAGAAGGTAAAACAACTTTGTTTTTTCTCACTTTTTTAAAACCTTTGCTGCTTAGCCTAAAGTTTTCCCTTATTTATCTTCTGAAATTCTGCTGTAGAATAAGGTGTGGGACGTTATCATTCAGAAAATCAGTGCCTCCGTGAGGAGCGGTTAAAAGTTTGAGATTCTTCAGAACAGAGAAATAAAACACAGCTGCTGATTAAAAGAGAGAGAGAGAAAGAAAGAAAGGCTCTCATATTCAAATTAGACAGTAACCAGTGAAGGATATCTGCAGCTGAGTAGAAGTTACAATGCAACAAAATAAATAGTAATATATATATATATATATATATATATATATATATATATATATATATATATATATATATATATATATATCTCTACCACCTGTTATTCTTCACG